CACGACCAGTACTTATTCAACGATTAAATAAAGTCCATATAAACATTTATACCGTTCGCAGACTCTTAACTGAATGTGGATTAAGATCCAGAATAGCTGACACGGGACTTCTATTCACAGCAGAACATCGGCGGTAACGTAACACTTCGCTTACAAACATCTTTATTGGAGTGTTGAAGAATGGGGTGCCTTGTTGTTCACGAATGAATTATGATGTGAACGTTATGACCAATGTTGTTTCACTGCCAAAGTTCAGTTTGGTAAAAATGGTATAATGGGATGCACAGGCATTTCTTTAGGGGCTTATAAATTTTTTTACAATTCTAGAGGACCATTTAAACGCTAAAAGGTATAGTAAACAATGTTGGTAAGATCATGTCGTGTCATTTGCGTCATTTGTTGAAAAAAACTTTCGTCTGGTGGAAGATGCAAGGAAAAAAAAACTTTAGGTCTGGAATCCTAAGGATTCCAGACCTAAATCTAATAGAGCATACATGGGATATTTTGTGACGACTTATTCGACGTAACTATGTTCAGTTTCAATTTATGAATGAGTTGGAGCAAGCAATTTGTGACGAATGGGAGCAAATTCCTCAGGAAAAATTTGCTGCTTAATCCGAAGTATGCTTTATTGAACGAGCGCAGTAATTACTGGACGTGGAGCTAATACACCCTACTAAATATTGTTTTTATTAAAAAATGTTCAAAATAAAAAAAAAATTATTTTAGTTCAGATGTTCGAATAGTATTCATTTGACTCTCGACCTGTAAACATCGCATCCATACAAATTAGGCGCTAGTTTATGGTCAACCTATAAATACCCAATATCAGCAACAGCAAATTCAACCAGAATGCCCAAATGTCCTTTTTCTACAAAATTCATATCCAAATTCAGCACAAATTTTAAATAACCCACCAACAACAGTATATTATGTTCCTAAACTAGTACTATTACAATCTTCCTCAAACTGTCAATACAATGCTAAAATAAAGCCCACATTATCTACATCTCAAAATAAAGCTAATATTTTAATTGAGATGACACATACATTACAAAGTGAAGAATCTTCAGAGGAAATCAGCGACATTGAGTCATCGGACATCCACAAATGGCAAACTGTACAACATAGTAACAAAAAACGTAAAATTAATCCTCCTACACCAACAAAAAACGAAGACACGGTAGTAACTAGCAATAAATTTCAGATTCTACAAAATGAAAACGAAAACGACAACAATAACAGTACAGAAAATACCAACATAACTCCAGCAACCTCTAAACCCCCACCAATTGTTAAATATAATAAAATGCTTAATAACCTATCGGAAGTAACAAAAACAGAGACATTCTATTGTACAGCATTAAAAAACAATACAATAAAAATAAATTACTGGGACTCTGAAACATGCGGAAAACTAGTAAGACATTTAAACAGAAAAAAAATTGTGCATCATACGTACCAAATGAAAGAGGATAGAGCAAACAGAGTTGTAATTCGTAAGCTACATCATACAGTGCCCATTAATGTAATAAAGAGTGAAATAGAAAAACATATTTGCCACCTGTTGTAAATCAAAAATAATTACACCATTAAGAATGTCAACAAAGGCCGGCCCTCCATGTAACTATTTTTTCAGTGCAATATTTCATATTTATTGAAAGTCAACATAAATGCTCAATTTTATTTAAGAATTTATAGTGTGTGATATGCCCACTGACTATTAGTTTTCTTGTTGTTTAACTGTCATTGGCAGCTTGCCCACGAAACTTCAAAGGAGTGTCGCTTCTCTGTGTTCGTAATTCTCTGACTATACTATACATTTAAATTTTATATATTATAGGCGACTTCAATGCAAAAATTGAGGAAGGTCGACGAGGTCCGACTGTAGGTCCTTATGGTTTAGGACAACCTAACGATCGAGGACAGAGATTGTATGAATTCTGTAAAGAAAACGATATAATCACTGCAAACACCTGGTAGAAACTACCCAAGCGACGACTATACACTTGGAAAGCCCCATTTGATGATGGCAATAATCCTGAGTCTTAAAGAAATTAAATAGACTATATACTTGTAAATGAGCGTTTCCGAAATGCCGTCAAAAAAGTCACTATATATCCTGGTGTAGATATTGGATCTGATCATCAACCACTCGTAGCAGATATTAAACTAAGGTTAAAACGAATTCAGGGCCAAAAACCAAAACCAATTTACTTAACTTTGACAATATAAACACAAAACATAACATTAAAAAAGAATTTAACAATAGAATAAAAAACGTTGGAGAACAACTGGAAGATCCAGAAGAACTATGAAGTGAATTTAAAAACCAAGTTAACGAAATCTCCACAAACAATGATCATAGAAAAGACTTAATCAACAAAAATAACTGGATGACAGACGACATCTTGAAATTATTGGAACAACGTCGACTGATAAAATCGAATGTAACAGAATATAGACACCTACAGAGAAAAATAAAAGAGGAGATCAAATTAGCCAAAGAAAAATGGATGAGAGAAAGGTGCGACGAAATGGAGGATGTAATATCTGAACACGACTTATTTAATGTGCACAAAAAACTGAAAGAAATAAGTAATATATTTAAAAAACGAGTTCTCTCTGTACTTGTTGACACTAATAACAAAATTATTGTAAATGAGCAAGAAATAAGAAAAGAATGGCAGCTGTATATATCAGAGTTGCTTGAAGATGACAGGAATAATATTGCCGAATTCTACCAAAACTGTACTGACGGCCCAGAAATTATGAAATGCGAAGTAGAACATGCTATAAATAATGCTAAAATTAGAAAAGCTTGTGGTCCAGATGATACACCAACTGAGTTGCTGAAACTAATAGAGAATGATAACTTAAAATTAGTAGTAAGACTTTTTAATTCAATATAGGTAGGAGTGATTCCTGCGGATTGGCTTAAATCCATCTTTATCGCCATACCTAAAGAACACAATGCGAGAAAATGTTTAGAATGTCGATTAATTAGCCTAGTGAGCCACACTCTGAAAATTTTCCACAGAATACTACACATCATAATTAGACGCAAATGCGAAGAAGATCTTGAAGATACCCCATTTGGTTTTAGAAATGCTGTGGGAACCAGGGAGGCACTTTTTGCGCTTAACATCCTATTACAAAAATGCCGTTACCAAAGAAAACATGTATTTGCATGTTTCGTGGACTTCGAAAAGCTATTCGATAAAGCATGTAAAATTAATGCAAATACTGAAAAATATCGGAATAGATGACAAGGATACTCGTGTCATTAAAAATTTGTACTGTAATCAAACTATTATCGTAAAAATTGGAGTTAACTACACCGATGAAATCTCCATACAACGAGGAGTCAGACAAGGTTGCATTTTGTCGCCGACATTGTTCAATGTTTACTCGGACTGGTTATTTAAAAAGGCGCTTGAGAGACAACCATATGGAATAAAAATCAACGGGGAACTACTTAATGTTATTAGATATGCAGACGATACAGTAATTCTATCAGATAATATTGAAGGTCTTCAAATTCGGCATGATCGTATTTACGAGGAAGGAGAGCAAATGGGCATTAAAATAAACTCAAACAAAACCAAATTTTTAGTGTTTAGTCGTGACCCACATCCCGAATCAAAGCTTCAATTGAACGGAGTCCAAGTTGAGAAAGTTCACAAAATGACAAATTTGGGAACTGTGATAACGGACCAACTAGATCCAGACATAGAAATAAAACGTAGAATAGCAATGACTAAAACTACTTTTATGAAAATGAAGTCATTTCTTTGCAATAACCATCTCAGTTTAGAACTATGGTTAAGCAACTAATGGTTGAGTGCTATGTTTAGTCTGTACTTTTGTATAGTGCAGAAGTGTGGACGCTAAAAGTATCGATCATAAACAAAATTGAAGCATTGGAAATGTGGGTTCATAGACGAATGCTGAAAATACCTTGGACAGCAAGAAAAACTAATGAAGAAGTACTAAGGAGCGTCAACAAAGACAGAGAACTGCTAAAGACTGTTAAACATCGAAAAATGTCTTATCTGAGACATATAGTAAGGGGAAGTCGATATAAAATTTTACAACTGATCTTTAAAGGCAAAATAGAGGGCCGTAGAGGTGTAGGAAGAAAACAAGTTTCTTGGTTAAAAAACATTCGTGAATGGACTCAGATACCAAATGCAGGACAATTATTATTCGATATTGCAGAAAATCGAGAAGCCTTCGCAATGGTGATCGTCAACGTCAGATAAATATCGTCAGATATGGCACGCGAAGAAGAAGATACTCTACAATTTTACTGACTTAAACACAGATTTTTATTATGTCTCAAATTTGCCCAGATGTTGTCTTATAATAATTGTACCTCATTAGGGGTAAAAAATGTGACATAATAATTTATTGGCAAATTGACCATATGAGAAGGTTATGTATGTATTTCTGCACATATATATGTTTTTCGGTTCTAATTGTATCAAAAATCAAAAGATTTAAATAATGTTTTGTAATCGACCCCACTTGACCCTATTGCTTCATTTGTAGCAATTATATAAATAATATAAGTTGCGATCATCTGATAACTTGTCACCGCATAAGTTAGATAAAAGCTGGATAATAACGGTTTATCCGATCATAAAATTTTGAAACTAATGGAAAACACATCATATCTTTAAAGAATAAATTATATATTTTAAAATCCATTTTATTGTTTTGTTCGGTAGTGGAAATGAAAGAATTTCACTAAATTTGAACTAATGTAAAATAAGATACTTTGCAAATATAGGCATAAATCAAATAAAATTAATCAGAACACGTTTTTTAATAAACTGTGTCAAACAATATCGACATGTACAAAGAATTTTACTAAGATGAACTTCTAAATAATTTTTATGGAACGTGTTTTGTATTATTAATATTACTGAAATATTTAGAATACGATGCTCTTTTAAGAAATATTTAGATAAATATATACATAAAAATATACATACCTCATATTTAAATAAAAAGTTATTACACCAGCAATCTCCATGACTGATAACCAATTTAAATTTTTCCTTTTTGAGTTCTTTTGTAAAAATATCAATAATTTTACCTTCAAGATTTTTTACACATTGCGTAAGTTCCGAATCACCCGCTACTGCTTCGTATCCGTTGCCCAACGCTGATGTTACAAATTGTTGTAATTTTTCTTCATTGCCAAATTCTGGATTTTCTTCAAAAACGTTCTCATAAACTTTGGAGGCCAGTTTACTAAATTCTTCGGGACATTTGTCTTTCATAGCCAGAGAAATAGCGTGAAATTTCGCATATTCTTTAAGAACTGCTTTTATGTGACCAGGATTCATAGCATTTTTTTTATTCCAAAGTTTGTAGCCTTGTGATTTTAGGTTTTCCATTAAAAGGGCTTCGTGGCCATTTTCTGAAGAACACAGATATGCTTTTGGCGTGCTGATAAAGCGATCTTTAATATTATGTTCTTCTTCAAACTTTTTAAACTCCTCAAAAACACGGTTATACATATATATTTCTCGTCCATAAATTTCGTGTAGTGGAGCAGCTTTTCTAAAAGCTTCGTTTGTATGTGCTGATTTTAAAATTAGATCCAATGTTTTCTCACCATTTTTAATTGTAATAGTACTTATTACTCCCAAAAAATTGTCACCTTTAAATGATCCCGCATTTGAAATCACTTGGTAATCACTGAAACCATTTTCTTTTGCGACTCGGTCAATTAATTCTTTCTGTTCTTTGCTTAATTCCATTGTCACTAGTTGAGATACCGTGATCTACTGATTAAAAAAACACCATTTAATAGGATGTTATGTTGCTTGATTTAAATTGTAGCCTTGTATCTAATAAATAATAACCTGTTGCGCAGCGGCAAACATTTACAGCTTCGATACCGCGGAATATTCTATTTACATTTTATTTATATCGAAAACTCAACTTCATCTCGCAGTTTAATTTTAAATATGTATCTACAAAATATCAACGCAAAATTAATACTTTATTATATTTAATATCGAATTTTACAGAATACAAGTTATTACCGCAAAATAAGGAAATAAAGGTAACGAGAAGAAATGCTTCTTTCTTTAGTAGCGATGTAAATTTTTAATTGAATGTAACAACTGTAACATTATATAATATAAAAAAGAATTATGTTTTAAATTTGGGACAAATAGAAGAAAAACATGTATGCATGCCCGCTAAATTTTATTCATTCTAGACCACTAAGGAACTATTCGTTTTGTCATTCCACTATTATTTCCGTACAAATTCGATATAGTCTGCTGCTGCTTAACATCACGTGAAATATAGTGGATCATTTATTGTCAGGTCTTCTCGCTAAATATCCCGTCCACTGCCATTTTAAAGATTTAATTCTGTAGATTATATTAGTATCTAAATTAACTAAAAAAGAAAACTACTAAAAGAAAATCTAAATTATTACTGTATAAGTCGATTATTCTTCCAATTATTACATATGGCAGTGAAACATGAACTCTCGACCAGCGGGAAATCAATAAGCTTCTAGTATTTGAAAGAAAGGTTCTCAGAATAATTTTTAGTACTCAAAGAAATAAATTCACAGGGGATTGGAGAAGACGCCGCAATGTTGAATTGGTGACTCTGTATGGAACTGAAAACATAGTTAGGCGTATCAAGACAAACCGAATGGGCAGGTCACGTGGTACGATCAGAGGATGACAGAGTGTTAAAGACAGTGTTTTTAGAAAGACCAGATGGTTGAAGATCAGTTGGTCGACTGAGAAAAAGTTGGAAGGATGATGTTGAAGCCGATTTATCTAGAATTGGGGTACAACAATGGGAAATAGAAGCGCAAGATCTTAGAGGATGAAGGGAGATAGTGGATGCTGCGAAGACTCACCTCGAGTTGTAAAGCCAGTAAAGAAGAAGATATTAATATCAGTAAGTGTAAAAGTTAAACTGGATATCAAACCTCTGACTGTGATAACAATCTATGCACCAGAAAACAACAGAGATACCACCATAATGGAAAACTTCTACGAACACTTAAATCGAAACGCAACCTTCTTCGTATATTCTACGAACACCTTCAGACTGTAATAAACGAGATCCAAAATGATAAATATATAATCAGTATGGCTGATTTTAACGCACATGCTGGTAATGATATAGTTCCAGGAATATAACGATAATATATAATATAACGATAATACGGCTATATAACGAAAATATCAGAAATTAAAACGGAAACCTTCTGACGAACCTCTGCAGCATAAACGAGATACGTAAAAATAATACATTGTTCCCTCATGAAGAACAATACAAATACGCCTTTAAAGACAGTAGAGGACAAAGATCTATGATAGACTATATTTTGTCGATTAGAGAGTTACAGCCCTCTAAAAATTTTGAATTTTGGTATATATATATATATATATATATATATATATATATATATATTAAGGTTTTCGTAAAAAAATTATCTTGATATCCATATTATCAAAGATTATACAAAACTTTAAATGTAACAAGTTTTTACCAACATTTAAAGCAAAGGAAACATTACTTACATAACGTTATCGACATTTAATACAAGTAAAGCCTAAGAAAATATAATCTAAATAACTATTAACAATTCCCCTTTCCCAAAAACACCTAATAACAAGTATTTTCACCTCTACACATAATTACTTCTTCACAGCGGCGAGGCATACTTAAAATCAAGCAGTGTGTTTGGTCTTGATCACTTGCATTTTAAAACTTCTATGTCGTCAAGAGCGACAAATGGTGGTTGTCGGCTCCTGGGTTGATGATTAATAATATCCCACAAATTCTCTATGGGATTGAGATCAGGGCTGCAGGGTGACCAGTTCATGGTTTGTATTTCAACCTCGTCCAAATATTCGCGAACCACACGTGCAACATGTGGTCGAGCGTTATCATGCTTTAAAAGTAAATTATTTTCTATGTAAGGAGCAAATGGAACTACATGATTAGACAAAATGTCTTTAATATACCTTTAACTTGTTAAGAAACCTCTTCGTAAATCAACAAGATCCGTTCGCGTTGAAAGAGATTTTTCTCCCCAAACCATTACAAGTACTCCTCTGAATAAAGTAATAGGTCGTATATTACACTGTGCGTAGCGTTCTCTTGGCCGACGAATAACTCTCACACGTCTATCTGAGCTATATAAGAAATACCTCGATTCATCAGTGAACAACACGTACTCGTACTCGTACAACAAGTACGAATATTATGAATATCTGTAACTTGTATTTGTAAATGTCTCATTGTGAGAAAACGTTCTCTTATAGCACGAAGCCTGAAAAACTGATCTTGTCGTGGTGTAGTGTATCTGTGACATACTACATCACAATTGTGGTAAAATGACTTGTGATAGTGTAGTATGAGACACCCCTAACCTCAAGCCTATTTCACGTAAAACTTAACCCTACATCAGGTAAAGTAACTGTCTGAACACATTCATCTCGGCTCAAATTTCTTGAAATACGATCCAAATCAACTAACTAACATACGTCAAAATAGCAAAACAGTTTTTTGAAATGTAAACAATATTTACAGTGTAAAATTGTGCTGTCAAATTATTTGATTTTTCATAGCCTACTAACTGATTACATTAAATATTCAATAAAATTACGTTATGCTTTGGAACGCAGTTTTCTGTTTTGATAATAAAGATATCGATGATTTTTTTACGAAAATGTTAAAAAAAAAATTAAACTTTTTTAAAGTATTGATTTATTTAATCCCTAATTTAAGGATTAAGATATAGCATTTGCTTTAAGTAAATTCCACACGAAGTTGCAAAATAAGGTGAAACGTTGGTATATATAGGTGAAACGTTGACACTTCCCAGTAAATATTAATACAGTAATTACTTAAGAATAGGTCTGCAATGAGCAAAAAAATTTATCGAAATCCAATTAAGGATACACAAGAAAAATAGCTTAAGAAATATGGCAGAGTTGAGGTGGGACGTTAATTTTGGAGAATAAAAATCACGTAATGCTTTGAACATAATTTTCTTTTTTGATAATAAAGGTATCGTGATGATTTATTCACGAAAATATGAAAAAAGAATAAAGCCATCTTAAAATATAAATAGCATGTAGTGTTTGTTTCTAATACATTCCACAGAGTGTTGCAAAATTAGATGAAAAAACATATAAGTAAAGCATATAAGTAAAACATATAAGTAAAACGTAGACTTCTCAAAAAACATTAATACAGTCATTATTTAAAAAAATTTCTACAATGTGAAAAATAAATCATGGAAATCTAATTAAGGGTTCAGATGAAATATAGTCCATTCATATAAAATCATGGTCCATTTTAGGTGGTGCGTTAATTTTGGAGAGTAGTATATATATATATATATATATATATATATATATATATATATATATATATATATATATACATATACATATATATATATTTGATAACAAAACACCAGGATATACCACAAAGATAAAAGTCAAAAGCTCACAGGATGATTCCATAAGGTACTTATTCCAAAAAGATTAACCGAAAAAAACAGAAATACATAAATCACAGAAAGTGATAGAGTCGAAAAAAAGAAAAAAGGAACTGAGTGCTTAGTATGTGAAGAACCCTATCGAAATAGCACTAGAGGTTATAACAGGGTGCAACACAACCATTGTAGAAGATGGGCTCACATCAAATGCACGAACAAAAGTAATATCACTTCTTTCAAATGTATCAATTGTAATTCTGATTATGATTTGTGAGTTTCGCTTGTAATTTTTAGATTTTATTACTGTCAACGGTCAAAATAAAAGCGAAAAATCTTTTTTTTTTATTGGGTTAATGCCTCGACAACTATGATCATTGGCATGGTACAGTCAGGTACCTAGTGTAGTGTGTGTGTGTGTGTGTGTGTGTGTGTGTGTGTGTGTGTGTGTGTGTGTGTGTAGAGTAATTGTCTTGGTACTTAGCAAAGTCGACGTCATTGTCTTTGCTAAGAGACGCTAATTGTATCCGAACGTCTGCGGTCCCTCTGGTGAGTACCAATCGCACAAGGATAGAAATTATTTTCATTCATTAATTTTTAATAAACGAAAATTTCTCCACCCAGATGAGATTCGAACTCATGACCTTTAGGTTTAAAGGTAGGCGCTCTTACCACTGAGCCACAGAGGGGGTGCGAAAAATTTAATCTGTATTTGTTTTTGGATTATGTCTCTAATATTACCCTAACGATATCACTAAGAAATTATTGAGTCAACTAAACGCGCACCCGTGGCTAGTTGATTTACTTTGCAAGGCAGCAAAATTTGCTTAAAACTTTTTTCTATAGAGAATTGGTTAATTTAAAAATGTATCTATAATACCTTAAGAAGTATAGACCATCAGACATACTTGAATTTAACAGTATGCAAATAATAAATCAGTAAAAATTAATTATTAAAAAAATAATTCAACAAACCCCGGTCTCTCCCACCGTAAAAAAGAATAGTTTTTTGCTCTACTGTGCATCTTTAAAGTTCTGCCTGCGTCTACGATGTAAATTCAGGAACAGTTTCTACAGTTTCTTAATGTTTTATTTTTTTAATAATTTAGTTTTATTTATTATTACTTAAATTCTTCAATTATATTAGTTTGCATCATCAGCTGAGTATTACTCTTAAAATAATTATCAAGGAAATAAATCGTCTAGCTAAACAACAAAGATATATTGTCAGTAATAAATTATTTTAAATTAACAAATTTTATTTATTGATAGTTATTATTTTTAATAAATAAAAGAACATCTTTTATTCTCCTTTTATATTCAGCCATATTTTTAACACTAAAATTCATGCTGTTTATAATATCTCCATTTTTTTCAGAAATTTCTGCCAGATCTGGAGCTTCCTCGGATTCAGAAACCATTACTTTAACGTACATGAAACACCTATAAGCACCTAATGCAAATAGAGTTGTTAAGTGTTCTTCGAACATTGAATATGGAAAAAGATTTTGTGGATCACAACCAAAATTGAGGAGTTGTGTAGAGAGAGCGTCATGGTATAATTTCATATATGTTTTGTAGTCATCCAATACTTCCTTGGGACTGTTAGCTAGGAAGAAGGAAGTTACATCATCTGCTGGTGACGAGACTGAAGATATTTGCCAATCAATTATGCGAAGACTAGAAGGTTTTTCAATATTTTCAGAATCCTAAAACATATAAATTTGGAAATTACAATGAGTATACAAAATAACGTGTCACAGTCGATGCACAAAATGCAGCATTGGCGAACTCATCGCTTCATATCTATGTAATTGGTTTTACCGTTTCTCTTCTAGCATAACCTTTTTAGTTCTAATATAACCATATATATGAAGACCGAGTAGTAATCAAAAACAACGACAACAACAAAACATTCAACTCTAGTCTGAAGAGGGTCAACCGACCCTAAACGGACACAAATCATTCTCTCTTTTCGAAATAAAGATATCCCTTACCCTTCCCAAAAGAATGAACGTTGTCTACTACTACTAATCAAAAAATGACCAGTGAACCTCAAATAGTTCTTTAAAATTTAATTCCAATCACATTAAAAGTAATTTATTGAATTTTCTTTAATTTACATTAATTAATTAACATTAATAATTTTTTATTTTATGTTCAGTCAGAATGTTGGCTTTTGTTCTATTAAAGGCAACTGAAATGCATATAATACTTATATAATAATGTGTGTGAAAAGAACGAATCGGTCTCATATTTCGCGAAGTGTACCGGGTGGTCCAATAAGCCGATCTCTCGGCTATATATCAGAAACTATTCATGTTATAACTTTAGGAGAAAAAATTCCTTAGTAAAAGTGGCCAAGAGAAATCGCTGGAAATAACTTTCAAGATTCTGGATGAACCGCTAGGGGGGAGATATGTCCAATTATACCAAGTGTTAAATAAGTAAACTAGAAAGAGGCATAAATTCTGCATAAAGTTGTTCAAGTACTTTTTTTTTTATTTTTTTCAAATAAAGGGTGGGGGAGAGTGGGAAAGTATTTGTGGATAAATACCTATAACTTTGGTTTGGATCAACCGATTTTAACAAAATTAGTGTCATTAGAAAGAGTATGGATGAATTAATTTACATCTACTATAAAATAATTGCATTCAGTTTTAATTGTCGTAGGTAGAGGGTACTTTCGAATAGAAAAAATTAAAATTTGTTTTTATTCAAAATTTTTAATGGAAACACCTATTTATTGTAAAGTATAATGGAACTGGATTAAATTCGTAACAAAATGGCGCAAACCGCATGTTAATAGCTTTTATCGAACTCGAGATATGAATAAAAACGCATAAACATAAGTAAGTATAGTATTGACACACCCTGTATTATAAAATAAATTAAAAAATTAATTAAAGTCAGTAGGTACTTTCAAAATTTTTTATAGCAGAAAACTCTTAATGTTGATACCTATTTTGACCATTGTTATTTCATATGATTAAAAATTGTTTTTTCGAAACTAAGTAGGCTATGACAATGAATTTGATAGGGACTTCATATTGTTTATTTATTGACAGCAGTCAAAATATTGTTAAGAAGTGTTATCCTGGCAGGAGATATTGTGGTAAAGAAGTAGAGATTTCGGACTACTTATATGTGGATTCTGTTGAATTAAAGCAAGAACATTGATTGAATTATCTTCGGTCATAACTCTACTACGTCGTTTAACACAAGGACGAGAAAAACTACCAGTTTCTCTTAATCTTTTTGCCTTTCTTTCAAATACTTTTTTGCCATAATGTCTATTGTTACGATATCTTACAAAATGTATACGTGAGGCAATAGCGGCATTTTGGTGACATTCGAAATAAACTCCAATCATATCATACAATTTGATATACTCATCACGAATTATTTGTACTGATAATTAATTACTAATATTACCAATATCAATATCTATAGAAAAAAGTGCAATCTTTAATTCGAATTATAATATAGCACTTCTTAACAATGTTTTGACTGCTGTCAATAAATAAACAATATGAACTCCCCGTCAAATTCATTGTCGTAGCCTACTTAGTTTCGAAAAAACTATTTTTTACAAAATAGGTATCAACATTAAGATGCTTCTGCTATAAAAAAATTGAAAATACCTACTGACTTATTTTTTAATGTAATTTATAATACAGGGTGTGTCAATACTATACTTACTTATGTTTATGAGTTTTTATTCATATCTCGAGTTCAACAAAAGCTATTAACATGCAATTTGCTCTATTTTGTTATGAATTTATTGCAGTTTCATTATAATTTACAATAAATAGGTGTTTCCATTAAAAATTTTGAAGAAAAACAAATTTTAATTTTTTTTATTTGAAAGTCTCCTCTATCTACAACTATGAAAACTAAATGCAAGTATTTTGTAGTAGATGTGACTTAATTTATCCACACTCTTTTTAATGACACTAATTTCATTAAAATGGGTTGGACCAAACCAAAGTTATAGGTATTTATCCACAAATACTTTCCCACTCTCCCCCACCCTTTATTTGAAAAAATAAAAAAAAAGTACCTGAATAACTTTGTGCAGAATTTATGCCCCTTTCTAGTTTACTTATTTTACACTTTGTATAATTGGACATATTTCCCAAAAAACTGGTTTTCAAAATTTTCTTCGCAGGTTACGCCCCCTACAGGTTAATCCAGAATCTTGAAAGTTATTTCCAGCGATTTCTCTTGGCCACTTTTACTAAGGAATTTTTTTTCCTAAAGTTATAACATGAATAGTTTCTGATATACAGCCGAGAGATCGGCTTATTGGACCATCCGGTACATCGGATTGAAAAATTAAAACAGAAGTGTTTAGTATTTTTCAAAAATCTATCAAATGACACCAAACAGGGCCCCCCAAACACACCCCCAGAGCAAAGAGTGGGGAAACTTTGAGTTGTTTCTAAAAAATTTTAAATGGGAATTCCCATTTTTTTATTGCAGTTTTGGATTTATCTTCTTCTTCCTTTTTTTATGTAGGCTTTAAAGCCTGTTTCTTATTCAATATTAGCATCGCAAATTGTTTAATTATTGCACCATCTTTTTCTTTGTCCATTTGGTGACTTATCTCGTGCTATTCGTACTATCCTATCCTCTGCCATTCTACTAATATGTTTGTTCCACTATTGTTTCCGTTTTGTTACCCATCCGTTATATCTTCTATAATGTATGCTCTTCTTATGTTTTCGCTTTTTTCCTTATCCAACAGACTTTTCTTGATATTCGTCATACTATTTTCATCTCTGTTGTTGTTTCTAGTAGTTGTCTCGTTTTAGATGTGTCAGGTCTTGCCGTGTTTGTTAATATAGGTCTATTTGCTGCTTTATAGATTCTTGTTTTTAAGTATTATCTTAGGTGTTTGTTCTTCCAGATAATGTCATTACGAAATCCTGCTGCTCTTGTTGCTTTTAAGCTTTTTTGTTGCACCTCTTCTTCAATATCTCCCTAACTATTTATATATTATTCCCAGATATCTAAGACTTGCTTCGTGCTTTATTATCTTTCCATCAATTTCGATTTTACATTGTAGTGGGTATTTAGATGTTGTCATACATTATTTGGTTTTTTCTACTGATATTATTATTTGTATTTCTTGGCTGTTGTATTAAAGATGTGTGTTAATCTTTGGCGCTTGTCTTCTATCTCTTGCGATTAATGCGTGTTCGTCTGCATAACTTATTTGGATTTTTTTGTTCCCATTATGTAACCGTGAGCTTTACGTACTGCTTGTATTATTTCGTCCAATATTATTTTTAAGAGAAATGAGCTTAACGAGTCACCCTATTTGACTCCGTTTTTTACTGGAATACATTGTGTTTATACATTTATCCATTTATCTTTGCCCGTATTTGATTATGAAGTAGATGTTTTCGATGGTTTGTATATAATTGATTGGTATGTTTCTTTTATACCATAGGTGTAAGACTTCTTCGACTATTAAACATTGGCATCATTTGGATTTAGATTCCTTATACAAAAATAAGTAACTTTTATAAGGAACATTTTTCGAATTGTAGATTCGCAATAATTAGAAAAACGATTTATCGTGATACCCTAGTAAAATTATAGAAACAGTCTAATATCGCAAGAAATACACTTTACAATGTAAACTTAAAAAACACGTTTTTAATATTTTTCAAAAATCTATCAAATGGCACTAAACACTACCCCACACTCCCTCCCTCTGAGGGTGGGATGAAGGACAACTTTAAGATCTTTAATAGAAAACTACATTTTTTATAGTAGATTAGGATTTTACGTGAAAAAATAAACAAGTTTTATATAAACTATTTTTTCGATTTGCGATAGATGGCGCAGTAGTAATAGAAAAACATATTATATAGAACGGAAGTCTCCAATCTTTCTGTCTGTGTCTGTCTGTCTGTCTGCCTGTCTGTCTGCTAATTTTTATGGTAGCTACTTTAAACAGTTTTTAATAATATTTTTAAAAATTTAAAATCAGAATATGAAATCAAAATGGGGGTTTCTATTAAAGATTTCAAAGTTGGACCCTCCCCAATCAGAGGATGTAGGGTGGGAGTAACGTTTGTTGTCATTAAATAGATTTTTGAAAAATATCGAACACCTATTTTTTAGTTTTTTATTTGGAAGTGTATTTCTCAAGATATTAAAGCGTTTCAATAATTTTCCTACAGTATAACGATAAATCATGTTTTTTTTGATTTCTTTAATAGAAATTACTTGATTTTACATAAATGTTTTTAAACTGCGTTCCGTCACTAATTCCCTTAATAATCGTACCTTCCTGCTTTCCAAAGAAACACATGTACGACACAAGCCACATGTGTAAATTATGACATCCTACAGCTGATAGAAAATGATCGAAGAAATAAGTGTGGTTTGACCCTCGAAAGAGCTTAAACCAAAATTAAAATAAATTATTATAATAAAATATATTATTAAATAAATTCATCGGTCAAAATTAAATGAACAATAGTGCTCTTACAGTTTTTCTTGAGTTTTTTGTTTCGTTTCTCTCGTTTAGTTGTTAAGTCCTAATGTTAAGTTATCGTAGAGTTTTTATAACATCTATAAAAAAACCTACAAATTGTTTTTATAAGTATGAACCCTGTTGGTTGTTTACTTATATTTTAAAATCTTTTTTATTTGTAGTGAATTGATGATGCTTTTAAAAATAAAATCGAAACATATTCAAATAAATCAATGAATTAGTTGACGAGTTTCAATTGCCAATTATTTACCGATAAAACCTATAAATACTATTCAACCATTGAATATATTTTAAATTTAATCAACGGTCGTATTTTGCTATATATATATATATATATATATATATATATATATATATATATATATATATATATATATATATATATATATTATATATATATATATATACATAGTATCTACCGTTTATTATTTAAAATAATTTTCTTGGGAATATGTCAGGTTCTATCGGTCTGGAATTAAAACAATTATATTTTCTAGTCACTTAATATTAATATGAACCTGACATAAAGCCAAAAAAATTATTTTATGTATACAGAGTGGCCCAAAAGTCTGGAAACGACCAATTCTCTTGTAAATTGCTAGTAATAATTTTACAAATTTTGAGGTACACGTATTTTGGGATACGGAGATTCCATATTTGATATTTGCAATGTTGCCAGATTGGCCAATTTTTTTATATTATTAGTTACTTTAGTTTTTCAAATTCATCACCCTGTATATTCAGTCATTATTTTAATTTACTATTAAATATGAGTTTAACCATATGTAACGCTTATGATTTTATGTAGTCTGGAAGGTCTTAAATACATAAAATAGTGCAAAATATGAAGATTTTAATACATTTTAATAAGATTAAATGCTTCTCTAAAATGGCTCTTAACGAAAAAAAAACGAATTACTATTCTATTAATGAGATGGTACCGTGATATAAAAAGATCTTATTGCAAAGTAGCCTACTTGTTCAATTATTTTTTCTTAACCTGTTATCCTAATCATAACGCGACTCTAAAGTGATTTGAGGAATCTGGAGAAGGAAATTTAACGTCAGATGGTTACCAAATGATACTTAGAAATGAATTTGTACCTACACTCAGAAACTTTTTGGGGCCAACTTTTATCAGATATGGTTTCATCAAGATTGAGCTCCAGCTCATTTTGGTGTAAATTATCGGCGTTATTTAGATGAGATATTGCCCGGACGATGAATTGGTAGACAAGGTAGATTTAAATGGCCTCCACGTCCACCTGATTTCAATCCTAAAGAATATTTTTATTAGGAATATTTGAACAATTCAGTTTACAAAACTAAGCCAGCCAGTCTTGGAGATCTAAGGCAACGAATTACCGATAATTTTTAAATAATTTCTAGAAAATCATGGAGAAAGGAGGTAGACCCATTTTACAATCGATTAGGGTACTGTCGACTCACAAATGGAGCACATTTTGAACATTTGATAAAGTAACCATTATGTTAAAAAATGTTGTAATCTATCATTTGTTACGTTTTAATATAGTTGAAAATAGTAAGTATTAAAAAATCTATTGACACAATTAGGCGTTGCCAGACTTCTGTTTTATGTATTTAATACATTTCAGACTACAAAAACTCATAAGTGTTATATAAGGTTGCACTTGTATTGAATAGAAGATTCCAATAATGACTAAATATACAGGTTACTAATAATATAATAGAAACTGCAAATCTGGCAACATTGCAAATATCAAATATGGAATCAAATTTTGTACAATTAGAACTATCAATTTACGAGACAATTGGCCGTTTCCAGACTTTTGGGTCACTCTGTATATATAATTTATTATTTATATTTTAATGTTTTTATGTATTTTAACAAATAACAATAATTAATAATTCACATAAAATTTGAAGTTTTTCTTATATTATTGAGACACTATACTTAAATAATGTTATATTACTTGCTTCATGTGTGCGCGCTACTATATAGCTATCAGTTAAAAAGTCTATATCTTAAAACTAGTGAAGCTCTAATACATTTTATTTTTTTTTTTTCAAATTGTAAGATAAAGTTATGCTAGTTTTCATAGATAATAATTTTTTACACAAATTGCTATCATTATTTTAAGAAATACAGCCAATATATGAAATGTCAACAGGTTTAGCAAAATTTTTGCAAGACTAAGATACTGTAGAATTGTAAACTTTTCATTCGTTAATAATAAAGACTTTTATATACTTATTTTTAAATTCTATCCTTGATTTTTTTTTGGGCTTCACAGCAAACTTGTGTGTTTATTGATCGCACTATTGTTTCGAAGCAAAAATACAATTTTTTATAATTTGTTTAAACATTGTTATAAATAAATTTCAGTAAAACATTTTTAAGTTAAATTTTAAACCTAGCATATTCACAGTATAATCTATTGATCAAAACAAGTTTCAGCGTGTTGGTGTGAAATGAACCTTTTGCGACAAAATCCACCCACCTATAAGCAAAATACATGCCATATAAAGTTTTTTTTAACATTTCTATATTTTTTAAGTAATTCGTAATATCGTTTTTCGTTTTTTTTTTTGTCATTAAGATAAATCGTAAAAACATACTTACCTCATATTTAAATAAAAAATTATTACACCAGCAATCTCCATGAGTGATAACCAATTTATATTTTTCTTTATTGATTTCATTTCTATAAATATCAAGAATTTTACCTTCAAGATTTTTTACAACATCTGTAAGTTCTGGATCACCTGCTAATGCTTCGTATGCGTTATTTACCACAGACGTTATAAATTGTTGTAATGTTTCATCACTTTTAAAGGCAGCACTTTCGTCAAAAACGTCCTTATAAATTTTGGAGGAAAGGTTACTAAATTGTTCAGGAGATTTGTCTTTTATGGCCAAAGATATAGCGTGGAATTTCGCATATTCTTTTAGAACCGCTTTTATGTGTCCAGGATTCATTGGATTTTTCTTATTCCAAAGTTTATAGCCTGTTGATTTAAGGTTTTCCATTAGCAGTGATTCGTGTCCATTTTTTGAAGAACACAGATATGCTTTTGGCCTGCTGATAAACGGATCTTTTATGTTACGTTCTTCTTCAAATTTTTTAAACTCCTCAAAAACACGGTTATACAAATATATTTCTCGCCCATAAATTTCGTGAACTGGAGCGGCTTTTCTAAAAGCTTCACTTGTTTGTGCTGATTTTAAAATTAGGTCCAATGTTTTGTCACCACTTTTAATTGTGATAGTATTTATTACTCCTAAAAAATTGTCACCTTTTGATGATCCTGCATTTGCAATCACTTGGTAATCACTGAAACCATTTTCTTTCGCGACTTCGTCAATTAATTCGTTCTGTTCTTTACTTAATTCCATTGTCACTCTTTTAGACACCGTGATCTACTAATAAAAAACCTTATTTACCCGGAAGATTAAATAAGTTGCTCGATTCAAATTATTGTAACCTTCTACCTAAGATAATATCTAATACCTGCTGCGCAGCTGTAAAAATATTATAGCCTTGATACCACAAAATACTAGTAGGTATGCTATTTACATTTTTTTATTTATACCGAAATTTCAATTCCACCTCGCAACTAAATTTAAACTTTGTAAATATCCTCACAAAATTGATAGGTACTTCAGTACATTTAGTATTGAATTTTACAGATTTTTTCATTAATTACAATTATCAAAAAATAGAGAGAAATGGTAACTAGATAATAAGAAAAACTCGAAAATATGCACTTAGAAGACCCTAAAATATGCATGCAATTATACACAAAAAAACAGTTAAAATATGCACTAAAATATGCTTTTTATTCTATGATGCTTTTAAGCTTTTATGCCTTTATACTTTTATGCATTTAATGCTTATAAAAACGCACTAATACTAGTATTAAAGGTATTTAATATTTAATTTATTTTATGCTAAAGTCACAAAAAATATTTATTGAAATTTGTGTGATCTACATCATTATATTCATTTATTCTTTGATTCCTCATCATCATCATTTTTTAATATAATATTATTACAGTTAAAACTATATATTATTAAATAGGGTAACGGGTACAGTTGTTGGCCGATCACTAGTGATTGGCCACTTTCACAAAAATGCGAAATATTAAGATTTTCAGAAACTATAACGAAATTAATTAAAATTTGCCAACATTGCTGTATATTTAGTCTAGCTATCATCTCTCTGAGTTGATATTATCTAGTTGTTACGGCGTGTGTTGTTTAAACCTTGACAGTTTTAAGAGTTTTTTAAAGAATTTGTTAAGGAAGGCTAATCACGAGGTAAGTTATCTTGGCTAATGGTATGATGTATCTGGGTATATTATTGTTTAATGGCGATTTAGTGGGGTACATCTTACATTATCAGTGGTTGTATTAGTTAAGTTATGCATTTTTTGGCGGTAAATTTAAAAATAAGATTTAAAGATAAGATATTTCAAATATTTTTTCTTATTTTTTAAGGCAATAAACAGTGGTTGGCCGACTGCCAATCACTAAACCACAGGGTGGCCAATAACTGTAATGTGTAATAAGAATATATTTTTTGTCCGGATTTGTATTTATAAAATTACAATTGTTTTAGTTGTTATGAAATTAGTGCTAATGTGGGCATATTGAATCAAATTTGGAACGTCCGTATTGTAGCTAACATTATCACTAAAAAATGATTTTTATTTTTAGAATCAAAAATGCCAAATATCCGGAAACATAAAACGTATCAAAAACAATATCCAGAACAAGATCTTCAGTCTGCTTTTTAGGCCATAGAAAATGTCATGAGCTAACGAAAAGCAGCTGAACAATTTAATGTGCCAAGAGCAACATTGCAATTTGTAGAATGTGTAAAATTATGTGATAAAACTATCCTTGGTCCCAATCCTATTCTTTGTTTGGAGGAAGAGAATCGTTTAAAGCATTATATCATAACATGCTAAGACAAAGGTTTTTCAGTAAGAGGGGAAGATATACAAAATTCGGTTAAAGGTTTTCTTGACGCAAATTCACATGCCAATCCTTTTACTGACAATCGTAATCGGCCCGAAAGAGGTTGGTATAAATCCTTTTTAAAGCGACACCCAGATTTAAGTGAGAGAATTCCAGACGCAGTAACGACAGCAAGCTCAGTTGTGTCTATAAAACATGTACAAAAATGGTTTACGGTGGTTATATTGATATTCTTCAAGACACTTCAAGTGTTTTAGATGACGATGAGACTTGCTTCCTCTCGTGTTCCAAAAATAAACGAGTGTTGACTGTAAAGGGACGTAAAAATGTATATCAAATAGAGCATCACTCTAAAGTTTATTTGACGGTTATTTTAACCTTTGCAGCATCTGGAGAAATAACAGCACCATTGATTATTCAGCCTTATAAACGAATTACTAGCAATATTTTAAATTCCGTTCCACGAGAATGGGGCATAAGATGTAGCGATACGAGATGGATGAAGAATGAAAACTTCTATGAATACATAGGAAACGTCTTATATAAGTACCTAGTTGTGAAAAACACTAATTTTTCAGTCATTTTGTTCGTTGATGGACATAAAACTCACTTAACCATTCAAATCAGTAAATTATGTTCAAAGTTACAAATTATTTTAGTGGCTCTATATCCCAATGCAACCAAAAATATACAACCTGCAGATTTGCTGCCATTTTGTTTGTAGACACAGTTGGAGCCGCAAAAATATCAGAATTTTAAAGTTTGGATAATTGCGAAGAACTAAGTGGAGATTCAAAATTGCTTAATTTAAAAATATTTAATTTATTTCAAAATACCATAGATTCACCCACGATTATGCTATTTCAGCAGATAGACTTAAAAAAAACGACAGCGCATCTAACCAGAATTGAATATAGATCAAAAAGACTGGAAAATAAAACTGGTGGTTTCAGTTTGGAAAAACTGGAAAATTTAAGAGACGAAATAAAATTTTTTTCCCGAAGAGTACAGATGGTTTTATGAAAACGCGATAGAGGAAAATAAAAAAAATCCAAAAAGAAAAGAATAACTAAATAATATTTTTTAATTATGTTTACTATGTGGATTAAGGAAATATGTCCAAAAAATTGGTAATATTTGGCTTAAGGTAGATTTTTTAAAATTCAATTTAAAGTGTAAAAACGTACCTTCAGATACCTGTTTAAAAAAGTGTAGCAATGTAAATTTATAAAATAAACAATTATCTTTGAACAAAAGGCACTAAAATGCTCATTACTCAAAAACATCATTTTGTGACATATCGCTGTCCCGGTGGAACAATGACGCAACTACAAAAGTGTAACTTTTCAGGAGAGCCAAAAATATAAAATTATTTTACTTAATACCTTATGCAATGAAGCATAATGAAGTTACTGGATTAGTATTGCAGTTATACTGAGCCACCGTGATATACTGTAACTCTATATTTGATCCCCAATTGCAATTACGTCATTGTTTTTACAAAATAACTGAGGCAACAATGACGTAATTGCAATTGGAGATCAAATTTAGGAATGAAAAAATTAAGAAAAATTTAGAATTTAGTTTTAAAGATAAAATTTCCACAGACATAGGTTACTCATTTTGTAAAATTTTTAGTTACCTAGCTAGTTCAGAAAGGTGAAAGCGAAATAAGCACAAAAAGTCATTGAAAAAGTTTATTAAACAAATCGAAAGTTGTAGTAAAAGCAAACAATTTTAATAAAAAGGAACTTAAAAAAAATTGAAATTGCAAAAAAAGTATCAACGAAAAATTTAATCGTAAGAAGCTTTACAAAATCCAGGAATTATACGTTTTGAAAGTAACTGTTTCAAATCTTTTAGTTTGTTATGACTTAAAGGAATTTTTGAACAGTAAGCCCTATGCAGCTGGCATTTACGTAAAAATAAGTCCGACAAACTCTGACCTCTTCTTTTTTGGAAATAAACTTTCGTTCAGGTTGATTGTTTATAACTGTTTTAATACAAGAAGTTATCTTTTCTTTTTAAGCTTTGAAGTAGCATTATTTCAGTTATTTTGAAATCACGGCCTTCCTCGTCTTTGGTGAAATCTAGTCCCATTTCATTGTAGAGTGCTTTTACATCGTAAAACTCATTGAAATCCATTTCTTTAACGGTTAAAGGAGCTCCTGTTTTTTAAGATTAATTGAACGTATTGCTCGGGAATGTATATGGGCCCTGATTTGGTCGCCCTTTTCAATGCTTTTTATATTATGCTGTGGACTGAATCACCTTCGTTTTGGGTGTAACCGCGAACAAGGTACTTGTGAGTAATATAGTTCATGATCAAAGTATTAACAGCAAACAGGTACATGGCTATTAGAAATTTATTTTTTTGTTGGCCTCCACAGTTGTCGGAATAAAAAATCACATCAACTCCTGGACTGGTTATTGACAATTCTGTAAGATAGTAATAAACGCAAGATCCGATTACTATTGCCCCTCTATTCCCCATTACCTCATTTCAAAAGTACCAGCTAGCTTTATCAATTTCACAGTGCTATAGGTTTCGGAGACTTGGTCTTTTTTTCGCCTTTATTTCTACTACTGTAAAGTTATAACAGTTTAAGCGAAAGTTTTTGTTTTTAGTTTATCGTTAGTTTTTTTCTTACGACTTAGCTCCTTTTCCTCTAAGTGACTTTTAATGGTTGTTTGCATATTTTCTTTTTCTTCTGCTACGGCATTTTTAAAAGATTCGCATTGGTCACAAAAATCTTTCTTCGAGATAAAAAACCCTATATTAAATTTGCTGTTGAAAATACGAGAATAACAATCGTAGGTTTCTGACTCTTCTTCTTTTGCTTCTTTTGGTTTCTTTATATAGTTCCTGTGAAGTTCCACAATAATTACACCACCATCTATGTAATGCCTCCAAGAATCACTTCGAAGTTAGTGACTTTCAATTCGTGGAATTGAATTTATATGGCTACGAACAGAATCCAAAATTTTGTCACTTATTTTCTTGTGACTCTCGTGCTTCCCACGTTTATCTTCTGGTATAATAGTAGTTTTTCACTTAAAACTGCTTTAATTATAGAGCGAATAGCTCTTTCAGTTATTTCAAAAGTGTTAATGAGAAACGTTTTACATAACCGTTTTTTTTTTCCTTACCTGTAATGAAAAATGCACAATTTGTATTTCTGGGAGTGGTTTTTGATGTAGAAATATGTCGGCAGCTCAACTTAAATTGCTGAATACAAAAAGTCAAAATATCTCGTTGACTTTGCAAGGACCCTAATAACCAATACTCTTTAACTGTGTCTCTCTCAGCTTTTCAGATACCCTATTTGGACATTTCAAACGGCATTTTTCGGTACACACTGGTCCCATTTTGTAGCAGCTACAGGTTTTCCTTTACTAGAAGTATACCCCTGTCCAGAATTCTTTAGTGTTTTCCTCTTTTTTTAACCAATTACCCACATTCCTTTGTCTTTTTTCCCATCTTGACTAAGA